CGCATCGGGGTCGTCCTTTTCGCCAGCCCCTCGCCAGGTGCCCCCCGAGCTTTGTCCGCCGACGGTGCCCGCGGCGCGGGGGGGGCCGCCCAGGACGGCCGCACCCCCGAACGCGCACCGGGTCTCGGCTGCAGCGCAGGGGCTGGCGGCAGCTGGCGCTGGCAGGGGGAGGGAGGGAATGAGGCAAAGGGGAGGAGGGGGGGCTCCCCTCCCCCCTCCTCCTCCTCCTCGTCCTCCTCCTCTTTTTCCTCCTCTTCCTCCTGTCATAATCCGAATCAATTTCTTCCACTCCCTTCATCTCGCACCCCCCCCCCATCCCTGCACCCAAAACGATGGGGGAGAAGGCTGGAGGGAGGGCGGCGGGGAAACGGAGGGGTGCGGTAGAGGGGGGAGGTGGCAAGGCGAGGACGAGGAGGAGGAGGAGGAGGACGAGGACGACGAGGAAGAGGAGGAGGAGGAGGAGGAGGAGGAGGAGGAGAAGGAGGAGGAGGAGGAGGAGGAGGAGGAGCAGGAGCAGGAGGCTGAGGAGCAGCAGGAGGAGGAGGAGGAGGAGGAGGAGGAAAAAGGAGGCGGAGGAAGGAGGAGGAAGAGGAGGACGTTGTGGACCTTTTGATCAAGCGTGGCGAGGGGATCCACCCCGCCTCGTGCAGGGTGGCAGTGGCGGCCCCGACCGGGACTCGGACCCTGCTTCAGCCAGCGGCTTCCCATATTGTCGTGGGGATCGACGATTCATGGTGTGTGTGTGTACGTGTACGTGTACGTGTACGTGTGCGTGTGCGCATGGCTGCGTGTGCGTGTGCGTGTGCGTGTGCGTGTGCGTGTGCGTGTGCGTGTGCGTGTGAGTGTGCGTGTGCGTGTGCGTGCGTGTGCGTGTGCGTGTGCGTGTGCGTGTGCGTGTGTGCGTGTGCGTGGTGCGTGTGCGTGTGGTTTGTGCGTGCGTGCGTGTGTGTGTGTGTGTGTGTGTGTGTGTGTGTGTGTGTGTGTGTGTGGTGGTGGTGTGTGTGTGTGTGTGTGTGTGTGTGTGTGTGTGTGTGTGTGTGTGTGTGTGTGTGTGTGTGTGTGTGTGTGTGTGTGTGTGTGTGTGTGTTTCCCCTCCTGCTATTGGAGATCCCTCTGCCGTGTGGTGACAGACAGGGCGGTGGCTTCGGAACCCCAAGAGACCTCACCGCACGGTCCGTCGCCGCACGGTCTCGGGACCCTGGGGGCCCCTGTCGCCCGAGACGTCCTCGGAGAGGGGCTCGGGTCCCAAGACCGCGCGGTGACTCACGGCGTGGTCACCGCGCCGTCTGGGGGCCTCCGATCCTGCGATGCAGGTCCCGCGACGATTTCCAAAACAATGACACATTCTGACGCCAAACGACGGCGAAACTCAATCGCGGGGCTGCGTCGATTCAACACGTCTTCCTTTCCACGCTGTTGGCAGGAAAGCTTCGCGGTGAAGTCGCCCAGCGCCATGGCGCACGAATGTTGGCCCTGCGTTGGCCACGCAGCGCTCAAGAGGTCGAACAATGCCCGCCGGTCGTCAGCATCATGTCATAAATTCTGACGCCAAAGGACGGCGACGCTCAATCGCGGGGCCGCGCCGACCCAAGTGCAGGGAGAGCACAGCTGCGAGGCATCTGCCTCGGCCCCTCCCCGCGAGGAGCTGGGCGGCCCGCCTCTCCGGAGCGCCTCCCAGCGCCGCTCTCGAGGGCAGGCCGCGCGCCCGGCGGCCGCGAACGGCTGGAAATCTGGCGCGAGCCTCGCCGAGCGGGGGAGGCGAGGGATGTAGAGTCGGGGCGGGGCGGGCGGGGCGGGCGGGGGCGGGTCAAGAATGAGCGAAAAACACAGATTCCCCAAAACGCGGTGGAATCCGCCTCGACGGCGCCGCCAACTGCCGTCTGGGGGCGGTTGGCGCGCGCCCCCCAGAGCTGGCCAGCCCGCGCGGGATCCAGGACCAAGTTGGCAAGCGGGCTCGGCGAGGGTTCCTGGCCCAGAGGGAGTTCGAAATCTTTGAGATTTGGGCGCCCGAAATGGGAGCGGAAAGAATGGGAACACTGCCCAGCAACAAATGTTGTCCCAAACCAACAGCGGCCGCTGTTGGGCAGGCGGCCTTCTGTCTCGAATGGGCACAGGCCGCGGCGGCGTGGACAGCGCGTCCACTTCAAAATGAAAAAGATCCGCTGTTGGGCATTGTGCCCATTCTTTCCGCGCCCATGTCGTTCGCGCAGATGGGAGTTTGGCGGGCCGACGCATCTTCTGGATTGCCTGGACACGCTTGGTGGCCTCAGCCACACGGCTTTGGATTTTGTCTTGAAAGCCTAAAGCTGTATCGCATTCCAAATCCACAGACGAGCGCGCGGGAGTGAAGGGCACTCCGGCGCGCCGAAAATTCTGGCTAAGACGCAGGCGCACGTCGCCAGAGGCGGCAAGAAGCTTAGTTTTGTCCAAGACGATCAAACGGCGCCCCCGAAGGCCTGCAACAAGCGTAGACGCCGCGTCTGAAAGCACTTACACTACCTGATCGGCCGTGCCTTCAACACTGGAAACTGCATCATCGATAAAGGACCAAAGCTTGCAACTCGGCACATGTCTATGGGCGTTGTCCAACGTCGGAAACACAAGCAACTTAGCAAGAAGGACCCCTAGGCAATATCCCGCAACAAGCGACGGAGCGGGGTGGGTCGCAAGGCTGGCTTCTCCAGCGCCGCGCAAGCTCCAGAGGCTGTCGATATCCCCCTGCATGCGCCCGCGCGTCTCCCTGCGCGGCGGGGCCACCGAGCCGGCTGGAGAGGCGGAGAGGGCAGGGGAGGAGGCAAAAGGAACGGAACGGAGGGGGAAGAACTCGGATTCTGGGGCCGGTGGATCCTGCAGCGAGGCCAGGCCCCCCATGAGAGCACGAGTGGAGAAAAACACATCGACGACGACAACGACGACGACGACGACGGCGACGGCGACGGCGACGGCGACGGCGACGGCGACGACGACGACTGCGACGGCGACTGCGACGGCGACGGCGACGGCGACGGCGACGACAACGGCGAGGGCAGGTGGCCAGACGAACGGCCGGCGACGGCGACGACGCCGGCGGGCACGACAGGGGGCGAGGATGCGAAGCTTAGGTCGGGCATGTCCCCCCACAGGCGGGTTTTGAAGGGCAAACACACAGCACTCAAAAAATATCCACAAATTGAAAAATAGTAGAACAATCGTCCCCAGACGATTGTTTTCCTATTTTTGAATATTCCTCCTGTAGAGGGACATGCCCGACGTAAGGCGACGCGGGCGGCGAGAGAGGAGGCGTAAGGCGAAGGGCGAGGGGAGAGGACGGCAGCGACGAGGCAGAGGACGGGGGCGAGGAAGGGGACGGGGGAGGAGGACCAGGAGAGAGTGGGGAGTAGGGAGGACGGGGGGGGGGCAGGAGGGAGGCGGGGAGGCGAGGGGAGGGGAGGACGGGGGGCGCGGTGCGGGCAAGGGAGGGCAGAGGACAAGGAGAGGGGGAATGGTGCAGGCAGGGGGCCAGAGGCAGGAGGGAGGACCAAACATGGAGAAGAGAGAGCGAGAGAGAGCAGCGATAATGAAGAAGATAGGAACAGAGGGGGGCAAGAGGAGAAGGAGGAAACGACGACGACGACGACGAGGACGAGAAGGAGGAGGAGGACGACGACCACGACGACGACCGCGACGACGACGACGCCTACGACGACGACGACGACGCCTACGACGACAACGACGACGACAAGCACACGGACGACGAGGACGAGGACGATTACGATGGTGTTGTTCATAATGGTGATGATGGTGATGATGATGATGATGATGGTGATCATGCTGATGATGTTAATAATGATGATGATGACGATGACGATGACGATGTCGATGATGATGATGATGATGATGATGATGATGATGATGATGATGAAGATGAAGATGAATATGAAGATGATGCTGATGATGATGATGCTGATGATGATGATGTTGATGTTGATGCTGATTATGATGATTCTGATGATTATGATGATGATGATGATGATGATGATGATGATGATGATGATGATGATGATGATGATGATGATGATGATGATGATGATGATAACCATGATGATGGGAACGAGAAAAATGAGGAGGAAGAGGTGATCAAGCGCCAAGGGCCAGAAGGAGGGGAAAGGCGCAGCAGGAGGGGGACGGAGGCGAGGGCGGAGGCGCAGGCCTGGCGGAGAGGCTCTGGCCGCACGCTTTGTGCGGGCCGTCGTGAACACGCCGCGCCGCAGAGCAGCGCAGGAAAAAAAGCGGCGACAAAAGCCTCGCACTTTGCACGGCACCGGGCGCTCACTGTAGGGGAACAAAAAAATTGCATAAACGTAGAAACTCGGAGGTCCGCGCGGACTCCTCGGATCGGTGCTGGGACCCACTGGCGGCGCCTCTGGCGCCGCCCCTGGCGCGCTCCGCGCGCCAGGGAGGGGGGTCCAGCGCCGATCCGAGAAATCCGCGCGGACCTCCGAGTTGTTATGTTCATGCCATCATTTCTTCCCCTATCCTTGCCCGAGGGGAGGCTTCGAGGGGAGGCTACTGGGCGCGGCCGCACCGACCCCGCGCAGACCATCCCCTTTCGTGACGCCGCCCTCGCCTTGCGAGCTTACCCCCCAGCCGCGCACGCGCGTCCTGGGGCGGGGCGAGGGGGACGTCACGCAATGGGAGGGATCTGCTGTGGGCTCGGCGAGGCCGCACCTGGGGATGGCCCGGAGGGGGGCGACGGACGTGCCGGGCGGGCCTCTCCTCCGCTTGGCGGCGCGAGCGCGGGGGGGTGGTCCCGAGGCGCGCAGCTGGCCAAGAAGGCCCGGAGCTGGGGGGGGAGCTTCTCGGAAGGCACGTCCTCCTCGGAAGGAGCTCCGCGGAAGGCAAGGACCTTCTGAGAGGGCGTCTTGGAAGCTGGGGGGGAGCCTCCTAAGAAGGCCCACCCTGCCTTGCAAGACGCCCGCCCCCGCCCAGAAGGCCGCCCCCCCCCCCTCGCACCACCTTCGCGTGTGCCCTGACGCACCTGCCTCACTCCTCCCGCCTCCTCGCCCCTCGCTTCTGCCTCGCCAACGCGTCGTGGATGCGCCGCCGAAAACTCAGGAATGGATCGCTTCTAATGTTTCAGCCCCTGCCCCTCCGCGCTCCCTCTTTATCTCTGGTTGCCCTCCTCCTCCGCCTCCTCCTCCTCTACCTCCTCCTCCCCTCTCCCTCCTCCTCCTCTTCCTCGTCCTCCTCCTCCTCCTCCTCTTCCTCGTCCTCCTCCTGCTCCTGCTCCTCCTCCTCCTCCTCCTGTGCCCCCTCCTCCTCCTCCTGCTCCTCCTCCACATCATCATCATCATCATCATCATCATCATCATCATCATCATCATCATCATCATCATCATCATCATCAGCATCATCAGCATCAGCATCAGCATCAGCATCAGCATCATCAGCATCATCATCATCCTCATCATCCTCATCATCCTCATCATCCTCATCATCCTCATCAGCATCATCAGCATCATCAGCATCATTCTCATCACCACCATCATAATCATCAGCATCACCAGCATCTTCAGCATCATCATCATAATAATCGTCATGATCGTCATCATCATTAGCAGCTGCAGCAGAAGTATTATCGTCATCAGCATCAGCATCATCATCATCATCATCATAAGCGTCAGCATCATCATCAGCATCAACATCGTCATCATCATCATCATCATCATCATCATCATCAACATCGTCATCACAATTACCAACGAAATCATCATCATCATGAACATCACCATTAACATCACCATAACCATCATCATCGACATCAGCACCGTCACCGTCATCATCATCATCATCACCACCACCGTCACCATCACCATCACCATCCTCGCCACCATCACCACCACAACAACCATTATCATCATCATCATCATCAGCAGCAGCATCAGCAGCATCAGCATCAGCATCAGCATGATCAACAGCATCAGCATCAGCATCAGCATCATCATCCTCATCCTCATGCTCATCTTCGTCCTCATCCTCCTCGTTCTCATCTTATCCTCGTCCTCATCCACATCCTCATCCTCATCCCCCTCCGTCTCCTCCTTCTCCTCCTCCTCCTCATCATCATCATAATCATCAGAATCATCATCATCATCATCATTACCATCATCATCATAGCATCAGCAGCAGCATCAGCATCAGCAGCATCATCATCAACATCATCATCGCCAGCATCATAATCATCATCCTCATCCTCATGTTCATCATGCTATCATCACCATCACCACCACCATCAGCATCATCAGCATCAGCATCAACACCAGCATCATCATCAGCATCAGCATCGTCATCATCACCATCACCATCACCATCACCAACACCATCACCATCACCATCACCATCACCATCACCATCATCATCATCATCATCATCATCATCGGCATCAGCATCATCATCATAGTAATCACCAACATCATCATCATCACCATCACCATCACCATCACCATCACCATCACCATCATCAGCATCATCACCATCACCATCACCATCAGCAGCATCATCAGCATCAACATCAGCATCATCATTATCAGCAGCATCATCATCAGCATCATAATCAGCGTCATCCTCATCCTAAGCCTCGTCATAATCATCATCAGCAGCAGCATCATCATCAGCAGCAGCAGCCTCACCATCATCATCAACAGCATCATCATCATCAGCATCAGCATCGACATCATCGTCATCAGCATCATCATCATCACCACCACCACCATCATCATCATCAACAGCAGCATCAGCATCAGCATCAGCATCATCATCATCATCATCACCACCACCACCATCATCATCATCAACAGCAGCATCAGCATCAGCATTAGCATCAGCATCATCATCAGCATCATCATGAGCATCCTCATCAGAATCATCATAATCATCATCATCATCATCATTACCATCATCATAGCATCAGCATGAGCATCAGCATGAGCATCATAATCAGCATCATCAGCATCATCATCATCATCCTCATCCTTATCACCATCATGCTATCATCATCACCACCACCACCATCAGCATCATCAGCATCAGCACCAGCATCATCATCAGCATCAGCGTCGTCATCATCACTATCACCATCACCATCATCATCATCAGCATCAGAATCACCATCAGAATCACCATCATCACTACCATCATCATCATCACCATCACCAACATCATGATAATCACCATCACCATCACCATCACCAGCATCACCAGCATCACCATCACCATCAGCAGCATCATCATCATCATTATCAGCATCAGCAGCATCCTCATCCTCATCCCCAGCCTCGTCATAATCATCATCATCAGCAGCATCAGCATCAGCAGCAGCCTCACCATCATCATCAACAGCATCATCATCATCAGCATCAGCATCAGCATCGCCATCATCGTCATCAACAGCATCATCATCATCAGCATCATCAGCATCAGCATCAGCATCAGCATCATCATCATCACCACCATCATCATCATCATCATCATCAGCATCAGCATCAGCATCAGCATCGACATCATCATCATCAGCATCATCATCATCAAAAATAACCATCATCATCATCATCAGACTCATCATCATCATCATCATCATCATAACATCAGCATCAACATCAGCAGCAGCAGCAGCATCATCATCAACATCATCAGCATCATAATCATCATCATCATCCTCGTCCTCATCCTCATCATGCTATCATCAACATCACCACCACCATCAGCATCACCATCATCAGCACCAGCGCCAGCACCAGCATCAGCATCAGCATCGTCATCGTCACCATCACCACCACCATCATCATCATCGGCATCATCATCAGCATCATAATCACCATCATCATTATCATCGTCATCATCACCATCACCATCACCATCACCATCACCATTACCATCATCATCATCATCACCATATCCATCAGCATCATCATCAGTATCAGCATCAGCATCATCATTATCAGCAGCCTCATCATCAGCATCAGCATCAGCATCATCCTCATCATCATCCGCAGCCTCGTCATAATCATGATCATCAGCAGCATCATCATCATCAGCAACAGCAGCCTCACCAGCATCATCAACAGCATCATCATCAGCATCAGCATTATCATCATCGTCATCATCATCATCATCAGCATCATCAGCATCAGCATCATCATCATCAGCATCATCATCATCACCACCATCACCATCACCATCATCATCATCATCATCATCATCAGCATCATCATGAACATCCTCATCATGCTATCATCATCATAATCACCACCATCAGCATCATCACCATCAGCACCAGCATCATCATCAGCAACAGCATCAGCATCGTCATCATCACCATCACCATCACCATCATCATCATCATCCGATCCATCATCATCATCAGCACCATAATCACCATCATCATCA